ACCCTGAATTTGTTATATCTGTTAGATTTTCCTTTCCCAAACTGATAATAAAACTTTATTTTGGGGCCCAATCCTCTATATGATCTTTTAACTCACCTCCTGGCATGTTACATGGACCAACATAAAAGAGAGTATGTTTTCTCTAGAAAATTCTACCTTTACATTCTCAAAATATCTTGTTTATCAGCAGTTTTGGTTGGCTTGTAGTGTTTAACATAAATCCGCTCTGTCTTTTAAAAGAAAAAAAGCACTTCATAGAAATCTCTCCTCTTTAACAGAGAAAACAAACCTGCAAAGTCAAGACACAGTATAACTATCATGATAAATATTTATTTATATGTTTATAAAATGAGACATACATTGCCTTGTCTTTCAAATGATATAATGATAGTTCACCTTTACATCTCAGATATTGACACCAAGAGCTAGCCAAGAAAGTAGTAGTGCAGCAGTGTAGTGTATGTGTGCATGTGTGTGTGTGTGTGTGGGGGTGGGGGTGGGTGTTTGTGTGTGTAGGCTACAGGTCAACGTTGTATGTGTTCCCAGTTACTCTTCATCTTATTTGTTAAGCAAGCTCTCTTGCAGAACCTAGAGCTCACTGACCCAGCTAGAGTGGTTTGCCAGGAAACCCCAGGGGCCCAGGGGTTCACCTGTCTCTGTTTCCTCGGTGCTTAGGTTATAAGCTCTTGCTCATGAGCAGCTTTTTATTTAGTTTCTCAGAGTTCAAGTTCAGATCCTCATGCTTTCATGGCAAGTACTGTACACAACAATGCTTCTCCTCTACCCTGTAATTTGATTTGTATTTATTTTTAACTGAAACAGAAACATAAAAACTGCACATGTAAGCATCTTGTGTAATGTGTAATGATCAAGTCATGCTAAACTCTTGAAGTAATTTCTTCATACAATTTCCTAAAAAAAAGCTTTCCAGTGTATGATGTTTTTATAGGTAGAAGGTTTTTTGTCGTTGTAGCTTTGGTTTGTGTTTTTCCCAAACACACGATTCTTGTGCTTCAGTCTCCAAGATGCCAGGGCCCCAAGCAGATGTCACCATACTGGGCTTTGAGCAAGTTCAAACTGCTCTATCTCATCCCATCCTATACTTATGTATAGCAACTCTTTGAAGAGATTTTAAAACTGAGTTTTGTCATATATATAATTATTGAATAATTTTGTTCTGGCATTTATGACTTTAAACAATAGTTGTTGCATAAATTTAGCTTGTTCAACTTTTTGAAAAAAAAAATATGTTTCTTCTCTCTTAGAATACCATTCAGTGCCAAAACAAATACACACTCAACCATACACACTTAAATTTAAATCTCCATATTTAATGATTTTACAGTTTAGAGTCACTGCACATATGTGTATCTGCCAGAAATCTGTGAACCAGAGTAGTTGAAATAATCTTTCTCATAAAATTGGCAAAAATACAAGGGGAAATTGTGTAATGTAGAAGGAAAAATCTCTAAAGGATCCTATTTCAGAGTTAGCTAAATGATGAAGAAAACTCAACAAGTTAGTAAAGTTGTAGGACTTACCTTGAAGGCCATTTTATTCCCCCCATGTCTTCCTTCATTCTTTATAATCTGTGGCCTCTGGGCTTGTTTCAACCATCTACTGTTATGTTTTCCCCACCCTAGAATGGCATCTCAGTGGGTGTTTCCCATAAGCCTGAACAGTCTTCTTTAGATCAGTGATCCATAACTGACATGCACCCCAAAACTTTGGTTTCTCAGATATTGATTATGTTATGAATTCATTTAAATTGAAGACCAAAAATTTAATGGACATTCCTATTTCTGATGAAAAACAAAACAGATGTCTTGACAGTGGGCCTCCATATTTTATGAAAGAAACCTAAAGCTTAACAGACGGGACTTATTCACTTAGCACAATGTTTCACTTCCCCTTCATTTCCTTCCATCACATCCTAAGCTGTTTCACTGACATAGTTTTGTGCCCTGAGTGGTATGGAGTCCATGACCTTGTTTATTTTCCAGATGACCTCTCATTTTCATCCCTGTGTAACTTTCCTACGAGACTTACTTTATGTTCTCCCAACAGTTTAAATGTAACCAGTGGCAACAATATTCTATAAAAACCATAACAGTGGTGAAAAGCTCAAGAAGTCCTTGGCAAGGCTATACTTAGAAATGACAATCAGTTCTTTTCAAATTGCACACTGAAGGTAGTTATATTCAAAGAAGATAATCCCATCTTTTGTTTAAGGAATGAAAAGTGAATAAACATTGACCTATCCATTGCTATTGTCTATCTACAAGGCAGAAAGGATGACTCATTCTGACGACTCACTCTGACTCAGTATTGCAACACCAGTATGTAAGAAAAAAGTGTTCAAGAAAACAATTTTTTGCCATTCTTTGTTAGACAGTATAACCTTCAGTGCTTACCTTCCCTAACCTAACACATTCAGAATATGACCTACTCTCTTTTCCAAGATCAAGGTTCTTGCTGTCTGACATATTAGAATATAGCAAGCCTGGACTTGGAACATTAGACTCAATTTTTGCTTACTTGAATGAAAAGTATGCTTTTAGAAGTCTTTATGAATCTTTAAAAACACAACTTCTATCTCAATATTCCAGTGGATAAAAGAATGAGTAATGTGCTGACAATCATTACATTTATGTCAACGTCAGCACATTGAGAGCTAACGTTTTCCCCAAAGGGATAAACAAATGAATGAGTGGACTTGATTGAAAAATGGGTGGTGGAGGGGGGAGGCTGGAGGGATGGGAAGAGGGAAGAGGTGGATCTGTGATTGTTATGTAAAATGAATAAAAAATTTCTTAATTAAAAAGAAACAAAAGGTGAAGGAAGTGGACTATGAAATGATGTTTGAAAGCACCAAAAGTACAGGGGCCTAGACAAATACGACTTAGTTAATAAGGACCAATTTATAATCACTATGACAATAAATAAGGAAATGAGATTTTATTTCCAAAGCTCATAGAGACGTGTATCATCTATTCATGTCCTATGTATTTGGTGACTGAAGGGTAGGTAGGAATTGCCTTTGGATTGCTGAAGAGAGAAAGGAAAATGGCATCTTCTAAAGAAGTGGAAGAGAACAGCAGAGACTAAGCTCAGCTTGAGCATGCTGCTGTTTAACACACAGACAGCTTTAAGAGCATCATAAACTATACAGTAACTATACAGTGATCTCTCATGTCTCTAATTTTATAATTCTCAAGGCTTCCCCCATCAGAAAACAAGTTTATGTCAAATTAGTGAAATTAAACAAAAAGTACTTCACTTGCTATTCTAAACATTTATTGCTTTACCTGATTGAAAATAGCTCCAATAAACTTTTATTGCAGTCAATTATTTTTACTTTTATAAAGTTGATAAAAAAAAAACACTTGGAAGAAGGTAGAGTTGCTAAAGAATACCAAAATTTAAAGGGCATGGGAATCCAAATAATTGTAGAAATATTGGCAATTGTGAGATATGTACAAGGTGAAACAAAAAAGTTAGACATAGATCTCCAACAACAGTATATGGCATTTCAGATGAGCAACACAGTTACCTTGAGCATAGATTAAGTAAGCAATCTTATTTTTAATAACTTGAACTGAAAATAAGTGTGCAAAGAGTTCTTCTAAGAGCGAAACTAAAATGTGAGCTTGCATAAGAGTTTGCCCTGAGTTAAATACTCCCCTCAAATGTTACAGACATTATGATTATAAATTAATTTCAAAGAAAAAATTTCACTGATTTGTGATCAACTTTTGAAATATAGGTGAAATTTTGATTTTGCTATGCTATAATACTGCAGTGTAACATTCAAATGGAATTTATATAGTTTGTTTTTGGCCTTTATTTTCTTATTTGATAGTAAAATACTATGTTTTGTTTACTTAATTTGTAGACTAAAGGTTCCCAAACCACAACCGCCTCTGGGTCCCAGAAAAAAGTGAAGAGAACACTGCCAAATCCCCCTCCTGAGGAGGCATCCACCGGAACACAGCCGACCTACAGCACAATGGGCACTGCATCCAGGAGAAGAATGTGCAGAACCAATACCATGGCTCGAGCCAAGATTCTCCAGGACATAGACCGAGAGCTTGACCTCGTGGAAAGGGAGTCTGCCAAGCTTAGAAAGAAGCAAGCAGAACTTGATGAAGAAGAAAAGGAGATCGATGCCAAGCTGCGGTATCTGGAAATGGGAATCAACAGGCGAAAAGAAGCATTACTGAAGGAGAGAGAAAAGAGAGAGCGTGCTTACCTGCAGGGGGTAGCGGAGGACCGCGATTACATGTCTGACAGTGAGGTCAGCAGCACCAGACCAAGCCGAATAGAAAGTCAGCACGGCATTGAGCGACCAAGGACAGCTCCTCAAACTGAATTCAGCCAGTTCATACCACCACAAACGCAAACCGAAGCTCAGCTGGTTCCTCCAACCAGTCCTTACACACAATACCAGTACTCATCGCCTGCTCTTCCCACCCAAGCACCCACCCCGTATACTCAACAATCTCATTTCCAACAGCAGACATTGTACCATCAGCAAGTCTCACCTTACCAGACTCAACCAACCTTCCAAGCGGTGGCAACCATGTCCTTCACACCTCAAGCTCAACCTACTCCGAGTCCACAAACATCCTATCAACTACCATCACAGATGATGGTGATACAACAGAAGCCTCGGCAAACAACACTGTATTTGGAACCTAAGATAACTTCCAACTATGAAGTGATTCGCAACCAACCCCTGATGATCGCTCCTGTTTCTTCTGATAATACGTATGCGGTCTCCCATCTTGGGAGCAAGTACAATAGTTTGGATTTGAGAATAGGTTTGGAGGAAAGAAGCAGCATGGTGAGCAGTCCAATATCAAGCATATCTGCAGACTCTTTCTATGCAGACATCGACCACCACACTTCCAGGAATTATGTCCTAATAGATGACATTGGAGAGATCACCAAAGGGTCAGCAGCACTGAGCACAGCATTTAGTCTTCATGAAAAAGATCTGTCCAAAACAGACCGTCTCCTTAGAACCACTGAGACACGGCGGTCTCAGGAAGTGACAGATTTCCTGGCACCTTTGCAGACTTCCTCAAGACTGCATAGCTATGTGAAAGCGGAGGAGGACCCGATGGAGGACCCTTATGAGTTAAAGCTTCTGAAACAGCAGATTAAGCAAGAATTCCGTAGAGGGACAGAGAGCCTAGATCACCTTGCTGGTCTTTCACATTATTACCATGCTGATACTGGCTATAGACACTTTCCCAAGTCTGAGAAGTATAGCATCAGTAGACTCACCCTTGAAAAGCAAGCAGCCAAACAATTACCAGCAGCCATACTTTACCAAAAGCAATCAAAGCACAAGAAATCATTAATTGACCCTAAAATGTCAAAGTTTTCACCTATTCAAGAAAGTAGAGATCTTGAACCTGATTATCCAAGTTATATGACTTCCAGCACTTCATCTATTGGTGGCATTTCTTCTAGGGCAAGGCTTCTTCAAGATGATATAACATTTGGCCTCAGAAAAAATATTACAGATCAACAAAAATTTATGGGCTCATCACTTGGGTCAGGACTAGGCACATTAGGAAATACCATCAGGTCAGCACTCCAGGATGAAGCAGATAAGCCATACAGTAGTGGGAGCAGGTCCAGACCTTCCTCTAGACCTTCCTCTGTCTATGGGCTTGATTTATCCATTAAGAGGGAATCTTCCAGCTCATCTCTAAGACTGAAAGCTCAAGAGGCTGAAGCTCTTGATGTCTCCTTTGGCCATTCATCATCTTCTTCCAGAACTAAGCCCACCAGCTTACCAATCAGCCAAAGTAGAGGAAGAATACCAATTGTGGCCCAAAATTCAGAAGAAGAAAGTCCACTCAGTCCTGTTGGCCAACCAATGGGAATGGCCAGGGCTGCAGCTGGACCTTTGCCCCCCATATCTGCAGACACAAGGGATCAGTTTGGATCAAGTCACTCATTGCCCGAAGTTCAGCAACACATGAGAGAAGAGTCACGGACACGGGGGTATGACCGTGACATAGCATTCATCATGGATGACTTCCAACATGCTATGTCTGACAGTGAAGGTAAATGGGGCCTCAAACTACCGTGTTACTCTCAAAACTCAAACTCGTACCTTTCTGCATGTTTGATTTTCTTTCTCCAAGGATGCAGTTCATCTTTCTTGGTGCAACTTGTGCATGTTTATTTCCGTTTTATTTCTTGTATGTATACTTCTTGTATGTAGATTCAGTGGCATGTTTCTCTTTGATTATTTTTAGTTTATTATTTTAGTCTGTTTCTTGATGTTGGCTTGATTTGTTTTGTGTATCATTTTTAAACAAATATTACATAATTCTATCAATAAAATATGGTCATCCTTAAAATATATAACTGGGAAGATTTTCATTGTATGGTTCTTTCCACTTCAAAAATATATTTTGACATATTTAATAAATTTTACTAAAATCACTAAGGGTTAGAGCCATTCAGTAATAGTATTTGATTCTACATTGAATGGAGATGAGTGTTTGCTTCATCAGAGCTTGTTCTGTTGCGGAGAGCTTTTGCAACACCTTGACATCAGTATAATGTAGAATTTTATCATTCTCATTGAATAGATGTGTTTCATCCTCCTTTATTATGAAAATTATTACTGACAATTTTATACACTTATTGTTATACATTAGAAAGTTTAACTCTAAGATATTAAAATAATTTTCCAGTATATATAAAACATTCTGTTCAAACTGCAGAAATACATGGACTGCTTTTGCAGGTGTAGCCGTCTGGAGTCTGGCCTCCTGATGTGCCCTGGAGTCTAGTCCTTCCTGCTGTACCCCTTTGGCATTTCCTTGCCTTTCCTTTTTGCCCCAAAGTGTCTTGCTACTTTTTTGGTTGAGCAAGTACATACTATACTAAAGTTGCTTTAAAGTGGAAATTCTTATAGAAATAAAAAGATTTTCAAAATTATTTTGTGAAGTCTATGATGTTAGATATATATTTTTATTTATTTTATTAAATTTTTTAGATAGATCCTATTCTGTAGCCCATGCAGGCCTGGAACTCATTATACAGGTCAGACTAGCTTCAGATTTATGGTGACTCACTATCAAAGACATGAGCCACTGTACCCATCCTGTATATTGGTTTGTGTTTGAATATATGTGGGGCTGAAGCTCTGGAAATAAAACATGTCTAAACACATAAAAATATTATTTCATTAATTTAGATACTAAAAAAATACCAAACTGATGAGAATATCCTCCCATTTGTATTTAACTTGCTCAGTTAAAAACTCACATTAAAATGTGTTTTCATAAAGAGCATTTTCTTTTTTTATTCTGTATGTAGACACAGATATGATTTTAGAAACTGAAATATAGACTGTTTGATGAACTGAAGAGGGAGGTCTGTGGGCCTGAGGTAAAAGAACCATTTATGTTGCTCATGAAGTTCTGATCACCAAGTTTCTTTCAAACCTGTTTTTTCTCATTACAGGTGATTGGTTGACCATTTTTATTGACAGTTTGTTATTTGAGTAAAACATTTCATTTGTGTATATCTGTACTAGGCTAATATTTTAATTAATCCATTTAGCTTACCTGGAATTATGATACTATGTGGAAAAAGTTGTTCTTTTAGTCTAGTACATATTTGATACTCATTGTATACATGTAGAATGACTGTGAAAAGGATTAAGAAGCCATTCAATGGCCATATCTGTAAAAATAAAACAAGAACTCTTGGAATTACAGAGCAACTCAATACCTAAAGGATATGTGCACAAAGGTGACAGTTACCTAGAAAGATTTTGACAAATGGGGTTATTCCTCAGAAATGTGTCTTTAACTTGGTGTTAGAGATGTAAATGTTTGTAACTAGTCCCAAATGTGGCATTTATTTGATTCCACACAAATTAAATTAACCAAGTCCTTTTTATTTCTAGAATTTTGTGTATAGTAGTAATCACTGACTGAATTCCTATTTGATGCCAACATGATAAGATAGCACATACCCTACACAGTAGTAAGGCGAATAAAGATTGTGCCCAACTGAAAAAACAATTGGAGGGAAATTTAAGAACTAAAATATATTTTAAAATGAAGTAGACAAAACTCATTCACTAATAAAGAATATCAATACAGAATTAGGTAAATGGCTATAACAAATTGAATTATGTTAGTAACTTTGTAATTGCATTGTACTGGATATCTTTAAAATACATGCACAATAAAATGTTACATATTTTCATTGTTTGTATTTTATACAAATACATGAAGTTTCCTAGTGATATAAAAGCAAATTATTTGCATCAGCATAGAACATATATGTTACATTTTATAAAATTCATTTGTAATGTGGTTCCACTACAGCAGATCAAACACAAGCTATTAGGAATAGATAACCCTGCATACCTGGCACTTCATGAGGAAGACAGAGTCACTCAATCTGGGTGCCTTAGATTGACTCTGCATCCTATAAAAAAAAAAAAAGATGCATATCTTTTCCATTCAGTTACATATGGAAATAGTAGTAGAAATAACAAAAATCAAAACAGGTCATCAGAATTAGAGATAAACTGACAAAATCCTGGATCTGGTTGAGGTTCTGTCATATTTGTAATATCTAAAACCTCCTAAAACACATTTAAACAGTTGCATTTGAAAGGCAATTAGAGAAGTTAAATATTCAAATGAAAGTCTATACTATTCAGGATAACCACATGTTGAAAACATGATGAATCATTACTTTCTTTTTTTTAAAAAAATTAAAAATGAATGATAAATATATGTAATACCTATACAAAATTATTTTCACCTAAGGGAGATTAAATATAATCTACTAAGTTCACAGACTGATGACTCTCTTGTTTATTTTTTTATTTATCAATAGTCGTTATACTGAATAATTTTGTAAATTTATTCACTCAACTTCAAATTAGTACTGTGGTTTACCAAAATAATTATCCAGTAGACTGTGAAAAAAATATTGAATATCTATAAATTAGGTATAAGGACAAGTTATTTATCTAAAACTATCATAACTATGATATTTAGCTTCTTTCTTTTGATGATGACAAATAACTCTATGCTTAACACAAAAATTTATTAAACACTATGCTCCAAATAAGATGGAGGAAAAAATTCCAAGAGGAGAAAATAACAAAAGAGATATGAATTTCCTCTTCAAGCAACTACTAGTCTAATAGGCAAATCGGTTAAGAGTATATGTAGCCGCAATCCAAGCATCAGGTCTGAAATTGGTGAAACAGTGCTATGTCGCCTCACATTCCATGTTTACATGGGAGAGGTTGTGTGACTGAGGGCCAGTGGTGTGCAAGGCTACAGATGTGCACCCGAGCAGTGGTGCACACACTGACTGTCTAACCCTACCATCCAATAAATACTGGAAAAGGCAGTCTCTGGAGAAAGTCTTAAGGATAAAGTAGACACAAAAGCTACCTTGAACAAGATAGAGAGAAGAGCTCAATCTGTGACATTTTAGAAGCTGCCATTTCCAGAACATAATATATTGAAATCATGATGTATCAGGTTGAGCAAGGGAACAGGTCCTTTCATTGCCATTTGAGAAACTACAATATATTGTTTCCAAAGGCTATTAACTGAGGTGTGGGGTAAGAACATAGCTAAGGAATGTAAAGAAGAAGCAATTTATGCTAAGTCCAGTATTAGCCATTCTGTAAAATGTAAGTTTTAGTCACTTTGCAATACTCTAAAGAAACCTGGAAAGTACTGATATGACTAGGTGAAATTTTTAAATTTGTATTTGAATGCTTTAAATGTGATTAAAATTGCAAAATATACTATCAAGTTTTATCATATTGGTAAGTTAATAAAAAGTAATTGTCAAATGTCTAATTTAGTGTTAAAATTCAGATAAGTATAATTTTATTTATATTAAAGATTCTCACATACATACCAATTTTAGATATGGTTTTATTATTAAGCTATAATGATCTTGTAGTATACGTATTTCTAGCAATGAAATATAGGGTATCTTAGCATTAAATGCTTTTGTTTACTTATGATTGTCAAAGAAATGTTATACTTTCAAAAATATATATTCATTTGGTGTTAAAACCAGAAGCCATATGTGGCTGCTTGATTATACAAAAGTGGAAAGTTAAGAAACACAGCATGTGCACATAGTGCCTTTCCTGTTGACTTTCGGTCATACATGGTGGGTTGTAGGGTAAGGTTTCTAAGTGGGAACTGATGAACTTAAGTTGACCAAAATTATTCTTATATACTTTTATTTATTGATTGATTGATTGATTGTCATTGAAATTTTATTTATACTGATTTAAAATGTAATTTTGTGTTGTTTTATTTTACTATGAGATGTTGTGCATTCATGTGCCTCTTTTTCTTTAGATTATTCTGTTGTATGAAAATCTGTAGATACTATTGGAAATGTTTCTAGCTCTGATGGGAGTTATGTCTGAAATGCATGCTATGGTCAACAAGCCCAATGCATGCTAATACTGCAGACCATTTGCTTCCCTCTATCACCTGTATTAGTTGCGGTTGCAATGTATGATGTTTCCTTGGTCTCCAAAGCCTATCACTTACGTCGGGAGGAAACGGATTGGTTTGATAAACCCAGGGAGTCTCGGTTGGAAAATGGCCATGGTCTGGACCGGAAACTGCCAGAAAGATTGGTTCACTCTAGACCCCTCAGTCAACATCAAGAGCAAGTAAGTGTGAAATTTTGCAGTCTCTTGAACTTGTTAGCAAAAAGATTTGGTTCTAAAATAGACGAGTCTGTTAACCTAAATATTTGCCAATCAAGTTCAAGATTGTTTCCTTTCAGTAATTTAATGAAGAAAGTACTTTATTTTATTAATTTGATGGACATTTTGATGCTTCTACTGGACAATTTGAATGATTCATTCATGCAATAGATGATTATTGTATGGATAAACCATCTCTGGTACTGAATAAAAGGAAAATGCATGGGCTAATGAAGAGGTTGCAAGAACATTGTGCAGTATAGATATATATGAGTAAACACTCCCTTTTCTTGTTTTTAACACACTCTTCTTTAGGGTTATATTGACTAAATGTCTACATACTTTTCTTTATTTTGTATTTTAACATAGATTTATTGAATTTTATCTTCTTGTTGCTCTTAACATTGTATTTATAGTTATGTTACAACTCTTATCATAAAGATTTAGCTTGGAATGTCCATGATAATGAAACAAATATAATTATTATTTATTGGCTGTCTGGGTCTCTGTAGCTTAGTACTCCCTAAAAGCCTGGACAAAGTCAATGGAATGTTAAATATGTTAACAAAATCATAATAACACCTGCTATAGAAACCACAAGTCTAAAATTCCCCTTGCCATCAAATACTGTTCCCTGGATACTCAAGAGTTCTTCAATTAAATTATTACCTAATGTTATTTGAGAATATAGTGAGGTCATCTGTATCTATTCCTTTAAATTTTGAAAATTATGTTCTGTTCTACTTAGATGAAATATATGTATTGCAAATGACATTTTGTTTTTAATTTTCTGATATTGACATATACAAATCAGTAACTTTGACTGAGGACATAGTGCATCATATCTTAAATATGTACTTACAGACTAGTGTAATGCAAAAACAAAGCAGGAAGGGTTTATTGAAGATTGTTTCATAAAATTCTGGCTAGTTCAAAAAATAGAAGCATAAAGATCCTTGTTAATGAATGTAACAATCGTAATGTATTTTATTGCTAATAGAAGTCTTACATTTTCAAATGAACCTTTGCATTAATATCCAGTGAATTATAAAATAATATGTAATGATCAAAAGGACAAACACATAAAGTTATAAACTACTATAAAGTTAATAGCCATACAAGTACTCCCAATAGCCAAGACAGGGAATATAGCCTACCCCAGAAACTTGCATGCCCATTCTGAATCATAGCCTCTTTTCAACAAGTAACAGACATGTTGATTTTTATGCCAGTAATGTGTCTTACTTTATATGTTTTCTAAATAAATTCTATATAGAAGATAGCATATGTCTTAAATATATAGCATTACAAAGTTTAATTACATGTTAAGTTTATGCTTTCCTGTATTGATATTTGATCTCAAATACTGTTTTCTCCTTTAAATCAAGAACTTTATTTGGCCTATAGGCATTTTCGTTTTATTTACTTCTTTATATATCTGATAATAAAAGGTAATACTTAGCTCTTGATACTAATAAATGAGGATGCTGTTATTTAAAACCTGAACAAGAAATTATTCTCATGACATGCTCTGGGGGAAAGAGGATAAAATCCAATTGACTAATTCAAACATGAATTTGTCTTCTGTTAAAATTTATACACAAAGCACTACATGGATATAGGATTATTTCTGAAAAAAAGTATTAGATTTACAGTCATATTAACTACAAATTTAACAAAGCAGTATTTGTTTCCTTTCAAATGTTTGTACTTCTCAAGAGAAATCCAAATGTTCTTTGTGAAATAAATAGACCATGTTATCTTATTTATTTTTAAGGTTTTTCTTTATAAAGAGGATCGATATCCTTTACATGATAGTTGCAAAAGTAAGTCACTATATATTGGCTATAACAATATTCCCCACTGTCAAGTAAAGTGCATGTCATCTGCAAACCCTATGGAGCTCCTGCCTTCGGTATATAAACCTCCTCTGAAGGGGCCATGCTCTTTCGTATATTTGCAGCTGAACATTGTTTTCTCTCTCTCTAGACTCTGGTTACTTTGCTAAGCATACTGGTCATTCAGGTTATCATGAATAAGCCCCCTCATGCAATAGGACATCTTGCTACAAAACTGGAGAAAGTCTCTTTCCCTTATGCTTTGGTATATACTGTGTCATGTCTTTGATCATGATCACATACAACATAGCAGCTCTCTGCCCTACACACCCTAATATGTAAGTGTGCAGTATCCAGTATAGTGTGGGGAAACAGGCCAACGTCTGTACCCTATATTAAGCATTTGTGCAAATCAAAGAGGATGAATGTGTAAATACAGCTATGCTTATACAAATTTAATTACTTTATGAATATGTAGACTGGGCCCATGAAAATATTTGTGGTTAGGAAAGAACACTGCATTTTCTGGTATACATGCAGGTGACAATCTTGTTGATGTAGAATCATCAGAAGACCATAACAGCAGAGTCTAGCACCTTGGTGCATCACTTAACTTCCTGGTGTCCCTTGGTATGCTCTTGATAATATTGATTTGATACAAAACAAACAAACCAACAAACAAACAAAAATCAGATGGCTTGTAAGTCTATTTTCCAGAAGGCTCTGTCGGTATTTGCCTTGAATTGTGATTCTGCTGTCTATTGGCTCATTCATACCAATCATAACTATAAAAGTTTAATATTTTAGTAAGTGAACTCATGATGCTGGTTGCAAAGTCTTAAAAATTGTAGACTTGTGTGGAGACACTCTAAGGAAACAGTCATGGAAATGAAGATATTCAGTATCCTAACATCACAGATATTGATTAAAATGTGATAACAATTTACTGTTAAAAACTCTAATGAACACACTAGGAAGCTTGCCTATTCTTGCAAAATGCAGTCTCTGCATTATGATTATATCTGCAATAGAATCTAGAAATCAGAAACCCTAAATGCAAAATAGTGTTGTCTTAGTTTATTTTGACCAATTGAGTAAATTACTTAAATTGTCATTAAATATACATGATGTCATAAAATCATTGGAATAAGAGTGAGATGGTGTACACCAATTTTAAGGAATAATATCAACAATAGGATACCCAGGAAGAGACCTAGTAGGACCCAGCACCTATAGTGTAGTAGTTTCCAGAGGCCTCAAACCAGACCAATGACTTTTTGCAATGAACATTTGCAAATAAATATATGTGGACAAAGGGGTTTATGGCAAGACTCACTATGTCACAATGCAGCTTCTATGATGAGATTTTTAATTTTTTTCTTTTTTATTTTTTTCCTTTTTTTGTTAAATTTTGTCTTGTTTTATGAGAGGTGCAAAGGCTGAGGGCTGATGCAAAGTAACTGGGAAATGAATTTGATCAAGATACATGATGTAAAAGACACATAGAATAAATTAACAAACAAACAAACAAAAACAACCCCCCCCAAAAAAAAAACAAAGTCCACTAGTGTGATAGTGTGGGAACCACACACACAAGAGTAGCTTTAGTGTTGCTCCTTCTGCTTTAGGAATAAGAAATATCTCCATCAGCAACATAACCTTTGAATATAAAGACAGAATCAGGGAGCATTTGCATGAACAAAGTCTTTATTCATTTAGACAGAACTATTCTGAACTAGAATCTAGTAGATGTCCTCAGTGGAATTTCACAATAAAATTCAAGCACCTTAAATCTAGCACCGACCTAGTCAGGGTGATGGAGATGTGACAAGAGGGGATATTCTGAGATTTCTCCTCTAATTCCACATAATTACTTAAAGTTAAGAATGCCTTTCCATTTCCTAACTTTCAAGTGCAAAAGCAAGGGCGGGATTTTCTCAATATAAATTATTCATTGTCATCAATAATGAGTACATATCACTGTAGTCAGAAACATCCTTGAATACCAGATATACATGCACATTGATTTCCCAAATAAAACAAGTCAATCTTCAAGAGTGATTGATTATAAATGAAACATCATAATAAACTCAGAAAATGATTTAATCATTATGCAGTATGAGTATAAATTCTTCAATTGCCATCACTCAAGAATCTTCTGGTATATTTTCATTGATGCAATTGGTGTGCTTTGAATTGAGCAAGTGTAGTTCTGCATAATGTATTTCAAGGGTTTTTATTACGTATTTTTTTTTTTTACCGAATCCCTTCTATGTCCTAGATTCTGCAGATGAATGGCAAGACAATGCACTACATTTTTCCTCATGCAAGGATAAAAATAACCAGAGACTCTAAGGACCACACAGTTTCAGGTAAAGCAAACTGAACTATCTGATCATTTCTAATTCTAATGTCATATTGACATATGTATTTGGATTGCAGTTTAAATGACTCGTTGAATTTTAGAAAACAACCATTTATATCTATTTTAGCACATGTCCCAAAATAGCAGGCTATTCATTTGAACACAAAAAACATTAATGACATGATTTTTGCATGAAGAGTCACTAAGTGGTACAGATCCTCTCTTCATTTTCCGTATTTTTAACAGTGCATGATTTGGCAATGCTCATAATTACTATTTCAGGAAATATTATGGTCACCACATTACAGTGTGGTTTGCTCTCTTGAATACTATGATTGCTGAGTATAAAGGCTTGGAGATTTCAGGATTAGAGTCTTCTGTATTTATTCGAGGTGAACACTGACAATCATGCTGAGCTTTAGGATTACTTGTGTCTATTTATAGATCAAAGCTGATAATAGGCTTTCTAAGCTTCTTATTTTGGAATAACTTCGGGCTTCAAGAAAATGGTCCAGAGTGCTGTATTGCCCATTCTTTGACCAGCTTTCCTAATGTTGACAGAAATCTAGCATAAATCAACCCAAGAAAATCAACATGGATATAAATTAAAATAGCTGTGAGTTTTACCCAAATTTTGAGATTCTCCACTAATCAATTATTTTATCTACTGCCTCAAGATACAATCTAGAGCTCACACTGTATTTCATTGTCATGGTTTCTACATCTCTTCTAGCATAAATATTTTTGTATTTCTTTGTATTTCCTAGACCTAAAATGCTTAAAAATTATGAAACATTCATATTACAAATTTTCATTATTTGAAGTATGAGATAAAATAAATTTTTCAAGTTGATGAAATATACCCTCGTTATTTCTTGCATTCTTCCTCAATTACTGCACACTATCTGTGTTTCACATTCACGCAATACAAACAGAAAATTCTGGTAATATTTTAAAGACATTGTTGTGCTCTCTGTACAGAGGTAGATCTAACATGGTGCACACACTTCTTTCACTTTGTTTGTTTTCATGGTGACTCAGGAAGGCTCTTGTCTCCTCAGCTGCAATTTTATTGCAGACTTTGACACTTGGTTGTACAATGAGGAATGGTCTGCTCTCTGTTTCTACAGAATACTTGTCACTTCAAAGTCTAGCATTGTTTTCCTGTTAAGATGGGTATTTTTCTTGTACCAAAGAAAGATATTTTAACTTTATGTATATATTGCTGTTCAGGTTAAAAATACAAGGGAAATATTTAAATCCTAAGTGCTCTGTTTTTCCTCACTTCATTCTTATAAAATGCATTCTATAGTTGTAGTATATATTTAGATTTGATTTTCATTTTTTAGAAAAATTTTACATATTGAGTCCAATTAGTGCTTTAAGAGATATTTGTAGAAGTTATTTTTTGTTGAAAATTATTTCAGTTGCTTCCAGAAGATAAATCAAAATTGCATAATGTTTTCTGGTTATGCTAATATTATTTTTATGGGATAAATAATAGAAATCTTGAAGCATTTTCCATAAATGAATAGGTTATGCATCAATGTATCTGTCTACTTATGTCATTATTTCTATTTCATATCAAATGATTCCTCTCAGCCTTGTCTTCTCTAACTTATTATTGTCTTACTTGAACTACAGAAAGTCTAAACTATAAGAATGGTAGTAATAAATCCTATTAATTTACTGTTATAAATATTCTATGTTAAAACTAAACTTATTTCCCTTCATTTTTTTATAATGAAGAAAAGAATTATTATTTTTGGAAATTAATTTTTCAAATCAATGCATGTTATCACTATCCAAGTTTCCTTTTCTTTTTTATTTTCCTAAAATAATATAATATTTTCTATTTTTATTCACACTTTAATAATTACTACTAAATGTATAGTTTTGTTTATCCTCAAGGAACACAGTTTCATGGACAATTAAATATCTTGAAATAATCTGTAACGTTTTCAGTAAATCCTTAGGAATCTAGATTATTTTAAATCTATAAACCTGTGAATCAGGAGCCACATGTCATAGTCTTTGTACAGTGCCTAAAGGTAGACAAACCTTCAAAGAGAAAGCTCAACCTTATGACATGTCCTTGTGTGCTGACAAGATCAAGCTAGCTATGATTTACTTATAAGGTTGTTGATAATAATTAAATTCTAATTATTTAGTAAATAATATTATGAATACCATTTTGTATTATTTTTAATTCAGGAAAACTTGACAGCTAAAACTATCTACTTACTATGTATAACATGATATTTTGAAATAAATATATATACATGCATGTATATGTGTTTTTGTATGTATGTATTTGTGTGTGTGTGTGTGTGTGTGTGTGTGTGTGTGTGTGTGTGTGTGTGTGTTATTTAATGATTAAAGGAAGCTCTTACCCATGTTATTTTGTTTGTTTGGGAATGTTTTGCATTTATTCTATGAGCATTTTCAAAAATATGATATGTTCTTTTTATCTTTAGTTGTGATTGAGTATATCTTCTTGAGATGCATACTAAAATATTTACAAATAATGGTAGCATATCTAAAATTTACTTAAAAACTAACTAGGTATGGAGAAAAGTACACAGGTAGATGAAACAAAATTGGCCATGATTTTGTGATCATGGAAGCTAGAACACTAACTGTATTGTGATGAACTATTTGTTATAGTCTGGTCATTTCCTGTACATATAAAATTTTCCTGAGTAAGTTTTTCCATCCCTACTTGTATCTCATGTTCAGGGAAAAAGAATGTGAATGGTAGCTTCCATAGTAATGAAACACTATACAAACTCATAGATAACATCTGAACCCAAGGATAGGAGCAACAAAGTGAAGAATAAAATGTAGCATGCCCATTCTCCTAGTTATAGCAGAAAACATTTTGGTTACCTAAATTCCTTTAAAATAGATATACTGTGTGTCTCTGACAATATCTTATCAGACATATATAGCCAAAAGAGAAGCATAAAGAGAAAATAGGTTAATAGCATTCCCCTTGTCAATCATCTCAAGATATGGATAGTGGAGTCTTATGGTCCCATGCTGTTTTCATGGATCCACCAACTTAAACTGCTCTAAGAGTGATGCTAACATGAGTTTTGCCTTTATCCTTCTCATTCTTTGAGATTATACAGGTTTTTTTGGAGGCTATCTACTGTGTGACATCAGGAGAGATTGCATATAAAAATAAACATGAGAATTCAGCTCTCTTTGGTTATGTCTCAAAGAGACAGATTTGAAGAATGGGAACAAGTGGCACCATTCTCTCTTCTTTAGTAAAATCATTTTATTTAGCATATGTAATGTATTTAAAGCAGAGTAGTTTTAGTATTTCAAATGATTTAATAAATATTTTAATTCTGTTTTGATAACAGAGAAAATACACAGAGTTATAATATGTGCTAACAAAGGCTCTTTGAAGCTGCCAGGAATAGTGGACATGATGAATGGCTTTTGAAACCAAATCTTGAGGACTTACACTGTAAATATTTACAAAGGTAGTTAAAAAGCAATATAAATACAGGAGATAGGCCTTTTGTCCTTGTTTTTTAAATTTTCATACCATTGGATCTCCTTTCCAAATACTTTTATACCTCATAGTGCATGAAGTTGTATGTTTGTGTGATAATATCTGTCAGTCCTTATTATGTTTTGTTGTGTGATTAGAAGAAATGCACGAAAGCCCTGGCTCTCACTTTCCTCATGGTTTAGTAAGATGTTCAAATTATAATCAATTATTACAAAAATGTTAGGGGAGCTTAGATAAAAGCTAAGAGATTTATAAAACTTTAATACTTATACCCATTTTATTATATGAACAAAACATATACATGCAAATATGTTTCTGTATCATTATTCATAATTTTGTAAAGTATACAAAGAGAAATATGTGAAAATAACATTCTAACTACTAAAATGTAGTTCCTTAACTTTTGAACATATGAATTTCCAAACATAGAGAAATTTTCAACAATTGTACAGTGGTTTTGAAAGTCTTTGTTCACTAGACAAAGACTGTGAAATGGAATGGAGACAGTAACTAATGCACTTTGGAGTAATAAAGGACCTGGGCTGTGATTCAGTGTTAACATTCATTTAAATTTTGAAAGTATCTTTTTTATTTGGGAAATAAGATGAGTTTGATGCTTTCTAAGTAACTGCAAGTAAACCTAATGCAAGTCCCTGCAATTTCCACAAATGCAGCAAATGCTACCTTTCACTACAAAGAAACAAAGTAAGGAAAAAAGAAAAAAAATGCAATGTTCAGGAAATGAGTCTCTCTCTCTCTCTCTCTCTCTCTCTCTCTCTCTCTCTCTCTCTCTCTCAATTTGGAACTCTATCTTATGGTTTCAGAGAAGCAATTTGAAATAAACCAAAGAAATTCTGATTCTTAAAAAAGTCATTTACTGTGTACAGTTCCATAGTAGACTGGCTGCATCTGCTAAGGTATAAAGACTAATTGGTCACTTCATAGCAAAGAACATGGAAAACGTTTAACTTTGAAAGATAGCAGAGTCTTTGGAAATAGTATCTCAGTTTTAACTCATTAGTCACTGTCTTTTTTTTTTTTTATAAACAGTAGATATATTCTAGTGAATTCCTTTGCATCTGAGTTGAAATTTCCAGTGTGTATTTCATTATTAGTATTAGTGTTAATCATCATCATAATTAGCATTATTATTTCATCAATGTATAATTTTAATATTACAAATACCCATTGTTAATGTTCAGGTCAGTAGTTTTAATAAACTTCCAGGATTGTATGACCTTTACCACAGTTCTGTTTTAAAATTATCCACCATTGTAAGCTTTCCTAGAAATTGCTCATCTAAACTTATGTCTGTTGCCCAGTCATAAGAAAGTACACATTATTGTCTGACTCTGCCAGTTTACCTCTTAAAAGCATTACATGTAAACAGAATCAAATAATATCTATTTTGGTATCTGGAGTTTCACTTTTCAAAGTTTTAGATTGGTCTATGTTACCACATGCATCAGTTATATGTT